AATCGAAAAGGGTAGCTCGATGAAGGTTATGCGAGCCGTTGAATTGTACCGGGTATGCATAAATAACGTGCACACTATTACTCGAAGAAGGTGAAGAGGGACAGGTGTATTATTTTTGGAGGGGTTTGAAATAGCGATTTTTTTTTGGCTAAAATTATTAGTATTTCAACATTATATTGTGCTTTGTTTTCTATTACACCTTTTCAGAAATAGCCATAAAATTTCTATGAAAATTTTTCAGTTGTTCCTCTTGAAAAATATCTAAAATTGCCTTTTTGCTGACAGAATTGCTTGAGCTCTCTTCACGGCTAGACATGTTAATTCAAATTATCATCAGTACAACTGAACAAAAAAAAGTTTGCTTTTCTGGGTAGTGTATTTGAGGTTATGTTACTCATGATTTTTTTAATGGCAAACAGCACTACGAATCATCCTACCTTTTTGAATACACGCCACGATGTTTTTTTAGTTTTCATATAAGTCAATTTAAGCTTATTTGGTCGATTTAAGTACAAAAAATGCGACAATCTGTTCAAGAATACTTTTAAGGTACAAATTCGACTGGAGCCATTCCCGGATATGGATTTGGGACAAGAACTTGGCTTATCTGTGAAATATGACAACAAAGAGCGACTGCAAGTGGCTAGTGTGGTACCAGGGACTTTGGCATCGGTACACTTGCGTCCGGGCGATATAATTAGGTTAAGAAATAATAACTTACCAAAAAAAGTGCTTTGACTGCTGATGAGATGTTTTCCACAGACTCAGTTCCGAATTTCAGCTTCTCTCTGTCTTATTTTAGTCAGATTATGATAAAGTAAAATAATAACTGGGTTTCTGTTTATCATGATTTATAAGGGTATGCACTGTAACTGTCTTAATAATGCTGTCCGTTGATGGTGATGCTTTTGTGACGGAGCCACACTTCAGACATAGCTAACGTGTCTGTCCTCGTGCTTCGAGGCACCTGTCTCCAAATGTAACATACTGCCCTGCTACAGTCGCGTAGCATTTCTTTGGAAATCATCCAAAAGTAATTGTTCTTAGCAGAGGCACTTACTGCTATGCGTTATCTAAGTTTTCAGCGAAGTACGCATTGTGCGTCGTCCAGTGACAGCAATTTTGACTGTAGGACAAAAAATAAAATGGAC